GCTGGCGACTTTCATTACCACCTCTCCAAGGGAACAATCTTTCTCTCTCTCTGGGGCTTACACAAGGAAATATCCTTCAACTGCTTAGCTTGATTTCTGGTCCAATGTAAATGCTTGATTGATAACTGGGAGTGGTTGTTATTTCCAGTAAGTAGTGGAGCTGGGTGCTGTGTCAATGTCACTTAAACCTCTCCCGGCCTTGGTTTTCCCCTCTGTGAAATGGGGCCTCACAGGTTGCTTTGGGGCCGCAATGAGTGACTCCACGGGAAATGCTTCCAACACAGCACTCAGTAAATGTGTCCCACTGTTATCGTCATTGTCATTGCCACTAGAATGGTCTGCTGATTCATTTCGGTGCCTTATTCCAAGGCTGTGTGCCCAGGTTCCAGCACAGAGCCTGGCACACGGTGGGTGAGAACTGGGAGACATGGACCCTATTCTAATACCTGACAGGCCTGATAGAGCCAACCCTGAGCCTCAGTTTTGTCCATACAGAAAAGGAGTGGAAAAGCGCCACACCGTGGGGAGAGGCAGGAAAAAGCAACTAAGGCCTCTGCCACCTCCCTTCCCCCACCATGGGCCTGTGTAGCCCTAGAGCCTTTTCGCTGCCCTGTGAGGGGCTATCTGGGTTTGGCCTCACAGCTGGGCCCGGGTGGCAGCAGGAACCCACCACCCTGATGGCTTTTGCTGGGCAGCCAACACTCTCCCCAGTGTCCTTTGAGCAGCTGCCAGGAAAGCTGAGGCTAAAAAAGGCCCCCGGGAGCTGGTGGGGATAGCAGTCTGCCCAGCTTGGGCTTTATACCTCCAATATGGGAGGAGCTGGAGCAGGCGGACAGAAGCCACCTAAGCAAGAAGGGGCCACAGGTGTCACGGCCCTCCTGCCTGACAGATAGGGAAACCAGGTTCATGGAATCACACAATGTTGTACAGCTCATAGAAAGGAGCCACAAGGAACCACTAACAGCAGCTGTCTCACGGCAAGGGAGTTGGGCAGCTGGGAAGAGAGACTTGTCCCTTTTTGGAATCTTTGAAAAGTTTTTTTCTACTGTGACCAAAAACTACCTAAATAATGATGATGATAGTAGCTACTGTTCCAAGAATATTACAGACATTATATAAATAAGGTAACCCTGACAACAACCCTATGGAGTAGATACTATTCATAGTCCCACTTGGGGAAACTGAGGCACAGAGAGATCAAACAGCTCGCTAAGGGATGACCAGTTAGCTTGGTTGGTTAGAGCACGGCCTTGTAACACCAAGGTCAAGGGTTCAGATCCCCTACCAGCCAGCTGCCAAAAGAAAAACCCAACTCATTGGAAGTCACAGAGCACATTAGTAACACAGAGCAGAGGGAGCCAGGATTTGAACCCAGGCGGTCAGGCCTGTGCTCCAAACCACGACAGGCTAATTTCTACTAAGCAACCTCCCCTCCAGAATGCTTACCCCCCCACCCCTGGTCCTGTGCAAGTTCTTTTCCTACCTGGTCTTGTTTCATTCTTACAAGGTTCTCACAGTGGTGAGGCCATATTGTCCCAGCTTCACACGGGCTCAGACAGGTTATGAGTGTCACCGCATCACAGAGAGAAGCAGCAAGTGGCAAGGCTGGGATGGGAACTCAAGCTGCTGACGCCCCCTGCCTGCCCTACTCCTTCACTACAGCCACAGGGCTCACTACAGCTACCAGGCTGGACAGGAAATGGTTCTGTGCCACGAGGGAGGAGGGTGTGGTGGGAGGACTACACTCAGGGTGAGGGGCAATCAGGCCTCCCCGCCACGCAGGACCAAACCGTTTCTGCACAGTAGTAAAGATGAACCTTTTTAGGTGTTCCCAAAAATAGGCTTTAGAGCTTTGTGGAGGTCTGAAATATTTCATGATAAAATGTAACATACAGCAAAAAAATAGAAGTGCTAGAACTTTCTTCCCACACTCCAGTGGCTGGCTTACCAGGCAGGTTAAATACCCAGGAGACTGCAGCTTTAAGGAATAGGTTTGGAGGTGGGGCTGGCAGTCAGATGAAGGGACTAATGTCATATCCTGGAAGGATGGAGAAGGGCTCTTCTAGGAGTTTCTGGATAAATGACTGGGAATTGCCATATCGGGCGAGGAATTCCAAACTGGAAGGTTCTGAGAGGCATACATCCTCAGTCTGACAGTTTAACAGGCACAAGTATGTGGACGCAGATTCTCTGATTTGGGGGACCAGGCGGTTAGACCATTAAGTCTTAGAGTCATTCTACTGGCCTGTGAGCACTGCTGGGCAGGGAGAGGGGTGGTAGGACATAGATCACCCAGACTTGGGGTGTGGATTTGGGGGTCCTACTGTGAGCAGATGGATTTTTTTAAGGGAGGGCAGTTGAGGTAGTAAGTTTGGAATCAGACCAGGAGAGTCCCTGGGTGACAGAAGGGACAATATGCATTTCAGATTGTAGCAGCATGGGGGCAGGAGTAAGGGGAGATGGGTCTGGGGTTTTGGGTTTAGGATTCCAATGATTGGAGGTTTGTACAGAAAGCCAGTTTTGGGGGTGGGCTGTGACTGGGTATACAATACCAAGTAGGGACAGGGGCTCTGGCTGGACCGGAAGCCACTCTGGAAGGGTTTCCTGGTGTAATGGGAAATGGGGTCTACAGGAGGTAAGCCCAAAGGAGAGAGGCTGGAATTGGAGGTGCAACCATGGGGAGAGACGAGCAGGCTGGCTGGCAGGGAACCGGGTTTGAAAACCCTAGTCCTAGGTGGGACTGAGGGCCCTGGTGGGACACAGGTCTTACACCCTAGAAAGGAGACCCTGAATGTGAGTCGACGGTCCCAACAGGAATCTCGGGATAGGACTGAGTTTGTCGTTCTGTTTGGAAAAGAAGTGGGGTCTATGGATCAGAACGGGAATCCCTGGTCAAGAGACTGGGAAGTAGATCTCAGGATAAAATCAAAATATTGGGGATCCAGAGTCTACGGGTTGGGGAGAGGCCAATGGGAGATCCCAGATCACAAATGGGTACCCGAATAAGATCCCCTATTAGGATTTGGGGTCCAGACTCCGAAGCAAAGTTCTGGGTGTAAATGGAAGGTTCCAGACAGGGTTAGGGGGACCTCAAGGTTCATCTTGGGAGTCTAAACAATGAGGAAGCCCTGGGGGTCAATAGGGAGTCCCACGCAGAAATCAGGGGGAGGGGACCCGGAGACAGCAGGCAGGGATTAGGGTCCCAGCGGTATTGGGGTCCTAGAGTTGAGTCGAGGGACCTGAAAGTCCACGCGGTGGGTGGGAATCCCAGATGTCAAAAGCAGGGTCCTTGGGCGGTATTAGGAGTCAGAACTCTGGAGCGGGGTCCCGGGAGGGAGAGAGGGGATGGGCGCGCGCGCTCTACCTGGTGCCGCCAGCGGAAGAGGCTGGCCGTGTCGATGTTGGGGTGCGTCTCGTCCTCATCGTCAGACACCTCGATGTGGTCCCACACGCTGTAGTCCACCATCTTGCCTCAGCGGCCCAGCCCGCTCGGGCCCGG